GAATCTGCACACCGGACAGAAATATAACATTCCTCAGGTTCAACTTATCAAATCTTCCTGTATATGAACATATCCTCGAGCTTGGTCGCAAGCGCCCTGATGCCGTGTTACTCGACATTGGTTGTTGCTGTAGGTCAAATCATAATGTTCTGTCGTAAATAATATTAACTCCATTGTAGTCGGTACTGATGCCAGAAAGGCTGCGGCGGACGGGTTTCCTGCCAAAAACATCATTGCATCAGATCTCTTCAACGGTAATATTTTTTTCCTATTAATAATCATTCTTGCTAACGATCTGTATGTACAGAGTTTCTTCAACTAAGCCACGAACTGTTCAAAACGACACCAGCTTCTTACCCCAGATGCTTCCTCCCTGGGGATGTCTTTGATCCGGCATTTCTCTCCATAACTGCGCCGACGGACGACGTCTCTCCGGCGCCAACTATTGATCTGTCCTCTTTGAAATCCCTGAACCCCCTTCATGGTCGCATTAGCGTAATAAACGCTATTTCATTCTTCCACCTCTTCAGCGAGGAGAGACAATTGCTCGTTGCCAGGGCTCTCGCGGGTCTGTTATCTGCGCAGTCAGGTTCCGTTATTTGCGGTTGCCACGTCGGAACTCTCGAAAAAGGAATAGTAAAGAACACTCTCGTGGGCTCTGGGTACTATGGGTTGTTCGCTCATTCTCCCAAAACCTGGTCATCTTTGTGGGACGGAGAGGTCTTCGAGAAGGGCAGTGTAAAGGTGGAAACAGAGTTGGTGGAAGTTGCGACTCGCGATGTGCAATTCTTCATGATGAAGTAGTCAGTGATGAGATTGTAGATACAAGCGGCATCGCGGTCGATTTGAGAAGTGCGTGTTTTACAGGGTTTGTCGATAATCAAGTCATAGCCCATGTTCAGCGTTAACGTTCATAATTCTACTAATGTTATTCATCAATTTCCATGTAGCTATAGTAAGTACATTGGATAGTCCGGCTGTTTCGAGTTCACGCGCATGGCCTATAGGATAAAATCTTGTCATTTGAAATTTCATAACCTAAGACCTTGGGCCCGGAAAATCAACGAGACCGCGATTAAACTAGGAACTAGTGGCAGACCTTACTGCTGAACATACTCGGGCTGTTCTTCCTTGGAGGGATCCATGACATTCATTTCCAGACTACAGACAATAACACGAAGGACCATCGTCTTAGCATCAGGCTGTACTCATGACACGAATCTCGCAAAATACAGTGGAGAACAAAATCAAGCTAGCGAATATGACCTTGAACTAAACAACAACCTCACCAGTAGCAGCCTGATTGGCAGGATGCAGAACAGGCTGTAGGCTTCGCTGATATCGTTCGTGGAAGTCATGGTCTGAGGATGCACTTGAGTCAAATTGTAATCCCAGAGTCGATATCGGGCATCGCTGTGCCACTGCCGCAGCCCACGACCGTCCACTGCTAGCTGCTTGAACTCGGACCTCCAAGTACTTGACTTCCAAACGAGCCCTAGTTGAGTATAAGCTGGTTCCCTACAAGATGCGAAGTCCGAGAGAAGTAGGCTGCCAATATAGAACTATAAGGGAAATGATATGGAATGCCAAACTCCAGTGAGTGTGCCTCTACCGTATGCATAAGGTTTCTGTCGTAGTATGTTCTGAGGTCGTTCGGATACATTTCACATCACCTAGGACTACGGTGAGTCTCGGGTTACGTCCTGGGAAGTTACGTCCTTATATGTACGTACTTAACTGCTAGCCGGGCCCACCCCGGGCCATACCTACTGCTTGATTCATGATTGCAAGGACTCGTCTGCTGGCCATCAGTCGCACTATGTCAACCTCGACGCGCTCCCCCACATGCCCACTATCACAATTTTCCGCTTGTGAAATCTCAGACGCCCTCATAAAGCTCGGATCTCCAAACGGGGGACACATCCCAGACATTCACATGCTCTCCCCAACATCCCAAGTCAAGATCTGTGCACCAGCATACACCGTCCAAATGGTACTCGCATCAGACAATTCAGCCCCAAAGCTCTCCTCCCATTTCGTAGATACCGCACCCTCAGGATCTGTAGTCGTCGTCGACGCCCCACCTCGTTCAGTTTGTTCAACTCCTCGTTCCATGTCCGAACTTTCACACTCATTTCTATCGCGCAGAAACAAAGAATGGAGTTTGGGGTGGTTTGATGACTGCGGGCGCACAAGCTCGGGGAGCTGTCGGCGTCATTATCTCTGGGCGTTGCAGAGACCTCGCTGAACATCGTGCAGCAAATTTCCCGGTCTTTGCGCGTGGTCATTCAACAGTCGGGCAGTCCCCTTTCGTACGCCCGTCTAGTGTAAACGTCACCCTCACCATCCATCCCAAAGATGCTGGCGATAGCTCAGACGCATTCGCTTCTGTCACAGTGACACCAGGCGACTGGATCGTCGCAGATGAAGATGGTGTCGTTTGCGTGCCAGTGGACATGGTAGACAAAGTTGCGGAACTTGCTAAGAAGGGACAAGAGATCGATGCTAAGTGTATGGCTGACATTAAAGCTGGAAAGGGCATTCAGGCAGCTTTCAAGGAGCACAGGGGCAAATAAAAACATGATATTTGGACTCGTTATCCTCTATGCGCATTAAGAATACTGGATATGCATACATACGTCATTTAACAGCACTACATCAAGTAGTCATACCGACTTGAATACTGTACAAGCGTGGTCCTCGACAACCCCAGTTAGATTTTTTTTTTGCAAAGTAAGAGAGAGTGCATATGTCATGTCTAGAATATTCATGCACGGAGACCAGTATTGAGAGAAAGCGTGGTCTTCAGAGTGTGGAGAACGAAACGAACGCTGTGGTGCAGAGCCCAAAGAAGAGAGACTGAAGGAAAAAGATCAGTCACACATCTGATAGAGATTAAAATGCGCATACTCAGCAAGATAGGAAGCCAGAACAGGACGAGCATCCGGTCGCCTGAAAGGAGGTATCAATTGGACTCATCGTTATTTGAAATACCGATGCAACACTTACGCCCATGCTGCGCTTTCTGCGCATCATTTACAGGCCTATAACCATACGACTCCACTTCTTGAGCTGGCACAGAAGCTGTGGCTGTGGCATAACTAAGGCGCCTGCTCGGGCCTGTAAGACGCGCAGGTACCTCCGCATCTAAAGCAGAGGACTCCTCAGTGCACGATGTACTAGCCACAGGCTCCTCCGGTTGCTCCTCGAGCGTCTCGCGTGGTGTATACATCGGAGGCGCATCCTCAACAGGCACCGGACGGAGTGTTGCAGTAGCAATAGCAAGCGTCATCCATTTCTCCCAAGTCGCCTTCAGTTCCTGTGCCGCCCGTGCTGCTGGATGAGTAGCATCCCTCACTTCCCCATCGACCTGCTGTTCCTCCCGCTTGTCACCGACGAACGGCCACCCCGTTATCGGGACGAAGACGGGGAACACCATTGGGATCTGCGGAAGAGCGCCCCAAAGGACAGCAGGCATCTCGGGAAGATGCGGAAGAGGAAGCTGAGGTATGATGCCTTGAGGCTGCAGCTGCGCAAGCGTTCGTTGGATCATATCCACAAAAGACGCTGTCTGTTTCTCGTCCGTTGCATTAGGAGGTACCCTGGTATCTGTATCTTTACTGGGTAATTCCAGTGTTTGTTCCGTGTGGGATTCAGGGCTTATTTGTTCTGTGGTATCTGTGCGCCGACGGAAAGTACGCATTGGTCGACGTTTGACGATAACGAGTTCTGACTCGTCGCTCTCCACGTCACCCCACTGACTCTCACCGTCGCCGTCGTCATCGTCTTGACTTTCTGTTTCGACACTGGGCGAGCGCCGTGGGGTGATATCATCAAAGAAGCCTTCAGGGGCAATATCCTCTGGGGTTTCCCCGAGTCCGTTCACGATCTCCAAGTCCGCTCCAGCCTCTACGAGTAATTCCAAACAAGGTTTGGATAGAGACAACACAGCAAAATGAAGAGCCGTACAACCATTCCTATCGCGCGCGTCCACATCGATATCATGCGCAATCAGGAATTTCGTGAGCTCCGCGAAGCCCAAAAACGACGCGAGGTGCAAAAGTGTCTGCCCATTAGACGTAGAGTGCGAAACAGCGGTACTCATGGCGATAGTAGACTGGTTGTCAACGGATACATCTATCATGGAAAGGAACTTGACAATTGTGGTCTCGAAATTTTCTCCTTCGTCTGACCGGACGAAGAGCAGTGATCGTATTTCGCGATAAGACGAGGATGCAACGACGTGCATCATGTCGTTGGCGTCTGAGGATGTCGGAGAGTCTTCATTTCCTGCAGTTCCGACGATACGGCGGGCGACGTTCTTTGCGTCTTCGATCTTGCCTGTCATTTTGAGTCCGACGACCTGTAGGGCCAACTCCATCCTGGAAATGAAATACTTAAGTGAAAAAGGTAAAAGGTTATCGGTGTGACGTACAGGGCCCTGTCTGACTCATCGGTGTATGTGAATAGAGAAGGGAGCGAGGGATCGTTTGTCTTCTCGAAGCCCTCGAACCAAACAGCGACAACACCAGGAGAGGCTCGAGGAGGTAGGACACAGACTAAAGTATTGTCGCTCCAACGTTGAGTAAAGCTTGCGGGGACGTCCCCAAAGACGCAGTTCAGTTGAAGAACATGGTGGAAATTCTCGCCAAGGATAGTAACTTCAATGCCGCCGTGCGTAGGACCAGAAGTGGGTATAAGACGGTGAATTTTGGGGAGAGCAAGTGGGGTAACAAGAGGTGATCTAGGGTCGAAGAAAAGGAAAGATGTCGGTTGTGAAACAAGTTGCGGGATGGTTGGTGATACAGGGGAAACGAGAGGCGATGATATGGAGCTTGATACTGGCGATATTACTGGATTTGCGACGAATAAATTAGCTTGTGCGTCTTCCGGCTGTTGGAACCCATTGACACCAAACATAGCTGCGGAAGGAACAGTGCCATTTTCAATTTGAGATAATGAGCAAGACGGCATGGGCACTAAAAGGTGAGAAGGTGTAGGAGACCGGGAACTAGGCACTGTTGAAGGTTGAGATGGTGTGAAGCTGGCCTCTCTCACGAATTTCACCGGGCTGTTTCTACTAGTAACGTCATATGGTTTTGCTCGCTTCTTTGGCTGGCCTTTCACGTTCGTTGCCTTGCGTTTCGAGGGTGCACGCTTATCCGCCAATTCCCCGCTCGGTGCGATCTGGGACCAGTCGACTTCGGTTTCAGTGATGGGATTGAACGCAGAATTTGACTTGGTTGTCGACTTGTGGTCATCGGTAATCATAATCGGAGGAGTCGTTCCCGATCCGACGATGCGTCCAGTATGATCCATCATTGTGAAATGGATATGAAACCCGACCTTTTCCCGGTGGTGTCTGCAGTAGCACGTAATGCGGACGGGAAGTACGACCGACCCTGTTTCGAAGTCAAGGACTTCGGGGCAGTTGAACTGAATGATGCTAGTCGTGTCTTCCTTGCCTCTCAGTCGTTCATTACCATCCTCTGGGGCATCTGAGCCAGACCTGGGAGGTCTGACACGAGCCGCGATTTTTCTAGCCACGCGCTTTGCCTAAAAGGGAAAACAAAGTTAGTATGGAGCTTCGACTATATAGAGGTACCGACCTCTCGGTTTCTACAGCTTCCGCAGCTTAGCACGCGATTGTGTGGTGATGTAGCGCACGTCACAGTCGTGGTAAGGTGTAACATATCCAAGGGAGAAGGGTCTGATTAATGATGAGTTTGTGCCAAGGACAGAGAAGTATTCTCAGTACCTATCTTCCCTTCCCGACGAGTGCGCTTCTTGGTGAAAGTCCCTGGTGGAAGTTTCAGCCATTTCCATGAACCGACCCTATCGTACAAGTACGGTTCCCCTGACGATGAGCTGGCATGGGCCAAGTCCAACGCGACGCGCACTTGAGTCTCTACGCGAGACTTTGTACCGTGTTGAGGAATATTAGGGGTCAGGATGGGAAGGCTTCACGAATTAAAATATGAATACTCGAATAAAAGATAGACGTACTTGTAGCAAGATTCTCGTGGAGGAAAAACGACTCGATGCGGAGCGGTAGACGGATCCCTTTTGGGTGGACGCACAGCAGGGGGAGGGATGACAGGTGAACAATGCATCTGCATATGAGAGGGAACAAGATGGTCGGACTCAGGTAAAGGAGCTTGCGCAGTAGAAACACAGCTGTCGCCTGTCGGGCGGATTGTATCCGGTTTCAAACAATCTGGCATGACTTGAAGCAGCACAGGGGAAGATTCTGGAGCAGAACAGGCCGAGCTAAACCGAGGTATATGACACGTCAACGACAGCGATCGGACACGAGAACCTTTTCAAGACATACTCTTCATAGGCATGCTCATCTATCAGGTCGTTAAGCTGAAGCATCCTCTCGTTGTCAGGTTTGTTCATGACACTACGCATAGACTCATTGTCCAAAACACCAATTTCGGAAAAGGTCTTCCTTGGACGAATTGAGTTATACCAGGCTGATAGGTTATGGTCATGGTGTAAGGTAACAGGATGATGACTGTCGGAAGATTCAGGTGTTGTTGGTGACGAAGAGCGAGAGTCCATGGCTGTTGCGGTTGTCGTCGACATCACTGACGAGCGAGAAGCGTGTTCACGGAGCAGTCGCAGTGAGGCCGATAGAAAGGGATAGCACGTATCTTTGAAACTGCAGTATGACCCCAACAACTCCGACAATCTGTCTGATTACCTAATATTTCACTTTGAATTAATTCTGAAGGGCCTTGGGTCAGTCTGTTGAATGTTCGTGCTTTGTCCACCATGAAGAGAGGCGCAGAGAGACAAATCAGCAAAGACGACGGCGATGACATAGAGGTATGATAACGATTATTTATGTTGTCTTGACTGGTCATTCACGCGAGCAGGAGGTCGAAGACCCTGGCAAGGGTTTCCAAAAGGCAGACGAGTCTGTCCTCACAAAGCGGCAGTGAGTATCCAGTAACTGCAGTGAGCAACGCTTATTCTGTGGCACACAGAATACGTGGTTTACCCAAGCGAGCCACGGCTTCAACTAAGGCTTTGTCTTTCGCCGGACTCCCCAGTGCACCTCTTTCACCCGCGGATTCGGTGAGTACTTAGTCAATGCCTTGCAAATCTTTCCAATAAAAGCCCATTCAGGAACCACCTGCTGCTCCAAAATTTGGTGGTTTCTCAGGGTTTGGCTCAGGAGCTGGACCGAGTCCTTTCTCATTCACCCCTCCAGCCGCTACTGCATTCGCGACCTCAAACGTTGCACACTCTGCGTCTGCTGCTACAAAGGACTTTGCATCGGTGGTACAAGCCACTAGTACTGCCAATGCATCCCCGAATCCTTCAGATGAAGATTACAACACAGAACTGAAATATTACAAGTCTATTCGTGGTCTTAACATCTCCTTTTTGTCGGCTATCCAAAAAGCTGTAGACCAGGATCCTTTTATTGACATCGCAGGCCTTCTTGAGAGTTATAAAAATCTGCGGACTACCGTCCAAACAGATCTTGATAGCTCATCCAAAGCCGCTAACCAGAAGGTATCAGCTTCTGGCCCTCCTGTGCTCGAGAAGGCTGCACTTCCAGCAACTGGATTTCCCGTGCCAAAAGGCTTCTCTGGATTCGGTAACTTTGGTTCCCCATCATCACCTACTTCATCCACAAATGGAACGGATAAGAGCTCGACACCTAACAATGCCTTCGCCTTCTCCACATCAACTTCCAACACGAGCTCGACCCCAACTTTCGGTTTCGGTGCCAAAACGAGTGAAGATAATCCTGCAACACCATCTCCCTTTGGCACTTCGGAAGCCCCGAAATCGGCTTTTTCATTCGGGACTAAATCCGCTGATTCCAACTCCTCAAGTCCGAGTTCATTTTCATTCGCCCCACCAGCCGCACCTGCACCTGTACCTGCACCCAGCAAAGACAAAGATAAAGATGATTCAAAAGCCTCATCGGCATTTGGCTCTAGTTCAAGCATTCCTAACTTCTTCGCGTCATCCAAAGCAGCATCATCCACGTTCTCCGACCCCAAGCCAACATCAGCATTCGGCACCACGACATTATTTGGTAACAGTACTGACTCAAAGACGCCCTCCTTCTTCACCCCAGGGTCCTCAGACCTATTCAACAAAGTATCCGCTAAAACCGGTACAGGAAATGAAGACACCAAAACCGGAAGCACTGGTTTATTCGGCAGTTCCTCCTTCACACCACCTACAAACACTTTCGCATCTGCTGCCACCGACAAACCCACCAGTGCTTTCGGCACGTTTGGCGGAGGCTCGCCACCAAAAGGAAATGGTTTTACGTTTGGGAAGACGGGGGGAGGGAGTATTGGCAATCCCGTAGGGTTTGGATTCGGCGTCGCGAAGCCTGCAGATGGGGCTTCTACGTCTTCATCGAGCGCTCCCACAGAATTCAGCTTTGGTGTTCCACCAACCAAGTCTGTCTCCCCGCCAATGGACACCGCCAGTCGATCAGGGTCACAACCTGCTGCCACCGATGAGGGCACAGACGATGCAAAGTTGCTGCCAACTAGCAATCACGATGGTGAAGGCGAGGGTGAAGAAGATGAAGAGACAACGTATACTGTGAAGGCTAAAGTCTTCAAGCTTTCAAAGACTTCTGATAAGTCTGAGTGGAAGGAACTGGGTATTGGTCAGTAATTCTTTGTTTTGGCATCATCCACAATCTTGCTGACTTTCGATAGGTATGTTCCGTTTGAAGAAACATAAGGAGACAGGCGCACGACGCGCACTGATGCGCAACAGTGCCACGGGGAGGATTGTTATTGTTCGTTTCTATCATTTCGTATCAACTGCAGTTGCTTACCCACGTATCCCGTTAGAACTTCAGGTTGTTCGTGTCACTAACCCCAACACTGATGAAGACGATGGTATCCTTTGTCGGACACGATGAAGGTGCTCCGGCATCGTTCCGAATCCGTGTAAAAACACCTGAGCAAGCTCAGGAGCTCAAGACTGCTTTGGATCGCGAGGTCGCAGCTGTCAAAGAGTCCAATTGAGGGGTTTGTAATTCCATGTCTCTAATGTTGCCCATGTCTAATTTTACATACTCCCTCGTATACCTCTGCCTATACACTGCACATTTCCATATTCTTTACTCATCGCATCATCTAGCATAGTTGCATGCATTTCTGTGAAGGGCTCCATCCGAGTTGTTGAAGACTCGGGCAGCTTCGCCCCCCTGCATCATAGATTGTACTTCAAACCACATCTTACACGTGCGCTGCGCCGTTGGAGTATGTATGAGATAGCTATTTAGCATTAAAATGACTTTGAGCGTTGTGCCATATGGAATTGAGCACAAAAGCTTCGCTGAGAAGCATTTCAATTTCGTGGTCTCCCCAGTCCTGCGTCGGGAGGGATTGCAGGAACATGATGATACCCTAGCACACGTAAGATATACATTCCTAGGAAGACAAAGGTGGATGTACCTGGAAATCCATTTGCCGGAGCTTTTCGCTCCACTTGACGAGGAATGCAGAGCATACATAAAGGTGGAATTGAGAGAATGCATCTGCTCCTTCAGCCTGGGATCATATAATCAATAACAGACATCCTACGAAGGTGTGGCCAACTCACTAGATACGTGTCCCACATGCGGATCGTGTTCTTCACACTGATTTCTCGCATCAGAAGACAATTCATCCAGCGGAAAGCGAACTGCATGAATTCAACATTTTGGGACTCAAGGTGTGTATACAGGGGAGCTGCTCGATCATCAGCAGCCACTGTGCGCAGGTAGAAAAGAACTTACCATCAATACGTGCAACAAGCTCAGCCATGCGCTTGACACTTCGCTGAATGCCAGGTTGTGCTGAGATGTAGTTATCCTGAATGCCGTCCAACAAACGTGACAAGCACCAAAACGAGTCTGCCTCGACAGCACTCAGGACAGCCGTCGGGAGCAGAGAGGTATCAAATTCTTCCGGATCCGAATCTGCAAGTAGTCTTAACGTTGCACGTAGCCATGAGACAATGATAGCATACCAATGTAAGCGGAGAGGAAAACCTGGAAGAATGGGGTAACGAGGTCATTGATGCCTTGAACGTATCCACTTGCTGGGTGTCGTATTGCCCAGACATAGAGAATTCTTTCGAGACTCTACTTGCGGCAGAGATATTAAGATCTGCTGGAATAAAATCGTGACTACTTACACGTTGAGTGGATGCCTGCATCCATAAACGTACACCAGGTCTCGTCCGTGGTACGTCGATCTCGATCTGATGCCATATTTGTTGGTCGAGCCCTTGACGATCCCGAGCGAACGCTAGTTCGACTAGTGATGAGTATTCTCCTCTCTTTCGTGCTAGAGTGGAAGCTCGAAGGTTTGATGGCAAGGGGAGGTAACCCTAAGCGTCGACATTAGAAGGTAAGGAGATACAAGGAAGATAGCTCACGAGAAGAATCGGCCATACAGCAGCTCTTAAATCGTTGGGAGTACCCGCCCAAGCTAATTTACGGAGTTCGCCTATTTGTGAAACCTCAGGTATATGGTCAGTGAAAGCCTACAAGAGCGCGCACTGATATTGACATCGTCTTTGCTAAGACAATCGATGAATTTAATTCGTCGATTTGTGCGAATTGAGCTCTCCCGAAGGAGCTTCTCAGCATCACTCGAACGTGGGGAATGACCCATCCTATGATTAAACCTTGGTTCTGGCGGTGGTTGAGGAGAACGGAGAAACCTGTGCAACGGATCTAGATGTCTGATTAGATGTGGAAAGAAACTTGATAGAGGTAAATACCGTTCATAATCTCGATAACATCAGATTTGATGGAGCCTTGGTCTGGTTTAGCTTTGATGCCAGCAGCTTGCTCCATTTCTGGCTCGAAATCCCCTACGACCATGTCACTGTCGACGTCTACATCGCCAATTGGATCAATATCTTTGGGTAACTTGGCACATAAAGCCTCCTGTGAAGTGCCAGATTTTCTAACCATTGTCCATCCGCCCTTTGCAGGTTGAGTGGTATCGGCAGCATTCGAAGGGTAGGAACCTGGACTTGGCGCACTGAGATGAGTGTAGGAGAATGAGACATTGGACGAAGAAGAGTTGCTAGGGGGCCTAGGGACTGGTTTCGGTGCTGTTATCGGAGATGACTGGCGTCTATATGATGATGGGGAAGGAGGGAGCCGCCACGAGTTTGAGATTGTGGACTGGCGAGGTGATTCAGAGTCTGATCCACTATCCCAAACATCGTCTTCTCCCCAGTCTGCGTTAGATCTTGCATTGAATGATGAGTGCAGACCAATGTGCGGTCGTGCAGGCGGAGGCTTCGCCGCCATCGTTTCACGGCGAGCCAAGTTATTATCTGCCCATTCGTGGTTAAACGTTAAGTATTACATTAGATTAGGTAATCAACCCGCTATTAAATTCACCGCTGGGCTGGTAGCCGCTCTTCTCTTTTGTATTCAAGTTGCAATGTCTTCAGAAGATAAGGATTTCAAAGGGCGGTGTATGTACTGCAACACCGACGTCGGTCGCGACAAAGTCAAGACATGCGGTCGCTGCCGGTAAGTAGAACTCGCGGAGGAGCCGCTCCTCACTGCCTACAATAAATATTATTAGCTAATCCTGGTCTTTGCAGACTGGTACGTTATTGCTCCAAGGAATGTCAGATCGCGTCGTGGAAAACCCACAAATTACGATGCAACCCAAATCTACGCGAAAGCCTTGCAAGTGACCCAGCCAGTAACGCCCTAAATACGGCCCTTTCCAAGTGGATCAATAACTGGAGGGATGAATTGCATAACTGGGCGATATGGGCAATGGATCTCGCAAACAGTCCACCGGACCGACTTGCTACGCATTGGTCAGTTGATCATAGGCGACCCCGTGCTAGCAGCTAAATGCAGTACAATAGCTTTGTGATCGAAATTGAGCGTCGACTGAATCCCCCGAGCGCTTCCCAGTTCTTCCGGGTGAGTACTCTCCGTCGGTATCCTCAGTACGTCTGAAATCCCACAGATGCATGGAGGAGGTGTCGAAACTCGAGCAAGTTTCATTGCACGCTTGGAAGAAATAAACGAGGCCAGCGAGGAGACCGTTGCATGTGTAAATGAGCGCCGGGGCACCGACACTGCTCAAATTATCATCCTCTGTGAGGATTTAATTCGATTCTTATGGTTCTCTCTCCGAGATGGAGGTGCATCCTTGCGAAACCGCGACCCTGCCATGTCCAAGGCACTTGCTGAGAACTGGCAACAAGGCATGATTAGCGCAATCGAAACTGGCCGTCGTGAGTGTAAGAGCCTTGCGCCTGATTAGTTCTAAATATTGTACTCCAGCCCAAGCATCCAAGACTCATCTGGACAGAGCCGCAATCAAGGTCATAGGACCGCCTCCCATATGAGTTGATTATACCACGGGCGGCCGCTCAAGACGGGTGAGATGAGTAGTTCATTTCGAATACCACACTTCTACGGACATTCTCATACATTACATGGTGTATCATAACGATAGGCAAGGTCCAAAGGATGATTTAGCAAAACAATCAAAGATATTAATTACGCAGCAGCAGCAGCCCGCTTCAGGAAATCTTCCTCGTCCCATCCATAGTAATCTTTTAATTTCTTACCGAATTCCTTGATCTTCACAGGATACAGAGTGGGATCCGGGTGAGCTATAAAAAACGAAGATAAGAAAGGGAGCTAAGTCGGCGAGGTTGTACATACGCTTGTGGAATGTGATAGACTGTGTAAGCAGCTCAGCATCACGGTCGAATTCCTGATATACTGGATGACATACCCTATCTCCATCGTGAGGCGGATCGAATCGCACAGACGACCCGGCGGTACTAGGATCGTATGAAAAGCCCATGTCACGCATAACCTGTGGACATGTGTGAACATTCCCTGAGTCGATACCAAAGAAAAAACAAGGCACCTTGAGGAAGCTCTCCCACTTCATTGCTCCCCGTCTCTCGTCATCTCCAGCGCGAAGCAGCTGATGCATGTACCCAGTCGTCTTCTTACCCAGTTTCGAAAACCACGTGTGTTTGCTGTTCACATTATCCTTGCTTTCCTCTTTATCCTTGGCCTTGTCTTTGCCCTTGGCCAAAAACCCGCGGTTGAACATGGATGCATGATCAGGACGAGATTTGATCTTCTCCTTCTGAGGGACCTCCTGTAGGAAAGAATGACCAGAATGAGCCGTGGTTTGTTCTGTCAGCGGCAATGAAGCAGTCGACATGTTGTTGAGAAGGGTTGTCGCCGAGCTGTTCAAGCTAGCCCTCCTAGCAGGGCTTGGCTTTGAGGGGCTAGAGGGGGGAGAGGCTACGCGCGCTGCAGGTGACACAGGAGACACGGGGGCATCTTCGGGGAGGACAGGCAGATCCGTGTCAGTCTTCTTCTTCTTTGGCTTCTTTTTCTTTTTCTTCTTGCTAGCAGAGGCAGTGTCAGCATCGGCGTCATCCTCGTCATCAACCTCTTCGACCGTGGTGCGAGTATCTTTAGGCTGTGCAGAAGAGGCTCCTGCATGAAGATAAATCAGGTCTGGATGTACGGGCAAACATTGACAGACACAAACCAGCAGCTTGTGGAGGCTTAGCCCCGAGGGCCCTGGGAACTCGTTTCTTCCGAGGAGTCGGAAGGGGTCGCAGTGGAGGTAATTCATCGTCTGGGATACCGGACAAATCGATCTTGAGAGCCGGACCTGGCTTGGGCTTTGTGGCAGCAGTCTTCGGAGTGAAAATGCCCTTGCGAGGTTCATTGCGCTTCGCAGAGCTGAGCTTCGCGCTCGATGAGAACATGCGTCCTGTGTTCCGCAACCAATGTAAGCAGATGATAACCATAAGAGCTATTAACTCGACCTCTTAACGAGCCAAGGAGCTTTAAGAACGGATTGCCCTTCTTTTCCTCAGCTATTGCTTCAAACTCGGGCACTTCTGTCTTCGCATCGAAAAATTCGGGGATGGCCATCGCAGTGTCCATAGCCTCTCGCAACATATTGCGATATTGCTCATCTTCATCAGAATCATATTCAGTTTCTGTCTCGTA